GCTGGGAATACAAAACAAAGAGAGTAAGTTAAAAACCCCTGCGTGTGGAGCTTACTGGCTCATGGAAGACACAGATAATCACTACTGAGAAAATTATATTGCACATTAGAGAACGACCTAAGGAGAAACGGTAGGAAAACTGGAAGAGAGTATGAAGTACAGTAATACCTTCGTTTGCGAGCATAATCTGTTCCGGAAACAAACTCCTCGTATTGCAAGACATCACTCGTTTACCACGTTAACATGTATTAGAACTGTCTGCTCATCTTGCAGAACACTCGCAGACCACGTTGCTCGCAATCCAAGGTTTTACAGCAATTTGGTGGGCAAGTTCCCGTGGCAGAGGCAAAACAATGATAAATAAGGAGATATTTACGTGAGAGAAAGATAAGCGAGAAGGAAAACCTAAGGAACACAGGGAGTTTGGCCGGTTTGGTGGGTGTGAGATGATGTAACACACAGTCGCTAGGGAGGCCGTCCTGAGGAAGGGCCCCTGAATAAAGACCTGAAGCCATGAACCCAGTGCCCACTAAGGTATCGGGGGGAAAACATGCCAGGCACAGGGAGGGCAAAGGCGCTAAGAGGACTGAGGAACAGGCAGGAGGCTAATGTGCCTGCAGAGGTGAGTCAGGGCAGAGTGGAGGGTCAGACAGGCCCGATAAGGATGTGGGCTGTGACTCGGACACTGGGGCCGCTGTCTGAGAATGAACTTTGGGAACAAGGGCAGGCGAGGGGGAACAGGTAGGAGGCTGGAGGCTCATACAAAAACCGTGCTGCCAGGATGCTGAGAAGGGGCAGAACCCTGGATGCCGGTGAAGGGAGGACGCACAGGATGTGCTACGGGCCCCCACACGTGGGGTGAACGAGACAGACAAGAAGGACCCTGAGTTATTGACCCGAGCAAACAAAGAGAAGCTGTCACTGTCCCAGCTGGGGCACAGCAGGGCTTAGCAAACGACAGCCTGCAGCCTGCTTTTGTATAGCTAGGAGTTAAGTACAGCTTTCACAGGTGTGTAAAAACAAAACAAAAACAAAAAGCAAAGAAGAAAATGCAGCAGGAACCCCACGTGGCACTCAGAACCTTACACGTTTACTCTCTTTACCAAGCTCGGCAACCGACCCCTGGGCCACCAGACACCCCGGTTTGGGGAAGACCAGGGCCGAGACACCCAGGTGCAGACACCGGGCGGGCAGATGTAGAAACAGGGCTGGAGTGTGGGGAGCGGGCAGGGCTGGGAATAGAAGTGGGGAAGCCGACGGGACAAGTGGTGAAAGCTGCAGACTGCAGCACTCACCTAGGGTGTGAGTCTAGAAAGCATTTCCACAGGCTGGGCATTGTGGCCTTCCGAGGTGTAGAGCTCAGAGCTCAGAAGGATCCAGAAAGATACTGAGAAGGAACAGCAGAAAGCAGGGGTCCCAGGGGAGCAGGGGCGCATCTCCTGTCATTTGATCCTCAAACCCATTAGGCCAGCGGAGTGTAATTCTCCCCATTTTACTGATGAGAAAACTGAGGCTCAGAGAAGAGGAGTCGTCTGACCAAAGTCACCCTACTAGGCAGTGGCAGGCAAGACTCAAACCCAGGCCTCCCTAGCTCTGCCTACTGTGGCATAATCTGGGGAACTGTTACTGCTACAATAAATACACTCAAAACCAATCATTTTCAGGGCGGTGTTAAAGTAATGTTTACTTTTAAATAAAGAGCTAATTCTTCGGTTATAGGTGGAGAGTTCCCTCAAGGCTACCAAACCCCTAGTACAGGCACACTTACCCAATGACATCAAAGCATGTTTCAGATGTCACATGGCTCACAGAGCCACCCCTGGGGTGGAGGAGGGGTGTGTAGCCTTTCATGGAAGAGAAGATATTTTTCTTACCTTGACCAAACAGTTCTCAAGTTTATCCAAAGAAATAACAATTAAATGAGAAGAACTAAGAGATGGCCATAAAAACAAAAACAAAAAGAAGAGTAATATATGTGTGTATAATATAATTTTAGTTATTAAAACAGTATCTTGTAAAACCATGTACCAGAACAAAGATATTGAAACAGACCAAAATCTCAGAAAAGACCCAAGATCTTGAGAAATTCTGGCATTTCTAAAATAAATTGGAAAGGATTGATTTTGCTATAAACAGGCTGGGTCAACCTGGTAACTGCTTAGAAACTAAGTAAAATTCATACCACACACCGTACACCAAAATAACTTCAAGAATATAGCATTTCAGGGCCAGCCAAGTGGCTCAGTTGGTTAAGAGTTGGTTTAAGAGCGCAAGCTCTGAGCAACAGGGCCACCAGTTCGATTCCCAAATGGGCCAGTGACGCTGCTCCCGAACTGAGCTGTTGCTGAGCTGCCAACAGGTGGCAGGATGGCTCAGCTGGTGTAACAAGATTACCTGTTCGATGGTGGGCTACACTACACCCACCCACAGCTAAGACTGAACTCGGCACCTTGAGCTGAGCTGCCTGGATGGCTCAGTAGATAGAGCGTGCGCTCTTAACAGCAAGGCTGCTGGTTTGACTCCCGCATGGGATGGTGGTTACGCCCATGCACAACTAAGATTGAACACAGCACCTTAAACTTAGAGGCCATGAGCTGCCGACAGGAAGCCAGATGGTGACTGGGGCCCTCCACAGCGAAGATTGAAGAACAACTACTTGACTGGTCCCTCTCCCCAATTCCCCAGCACTGTTCCCCTCTCCCAGTTCCCCAATTTAAAAAAAAAGAAAATTGCATTTCATGAATGTCATAAAACCATAAAATAAGACTTAAAGAAAATACAAAAGAACTTCCCCTTAAGATGGGGAAGTTTTCCTTTAATATGGAGAAATCATGGAGAAAAAAAAGATAAAGATAAATTTATACACGCAAGTTATTTAACTTCTGTACATAAAAAGACACCGTAAACAAAATGTAAAAGCAAATGGTAAGTTGGAAGCAATATCTGCAAACTATGACAAAGCATTGAGATTCAAAGAGCTTTTAGGAATTAACAAGATAATATCTGCACACTGTGACAAATGAGTGAGAGATGTAACTAAACCTTTTGCAAAGCTTTCTTACAATTAACAAGGGAAAGAATAGCCTAAAGCTACACAATAGATCATCAATGGAGTCAGAACACGTGGTCTGTGATCCAGCGCCCTGGGTACAAGCTGGTTTTGAGAAAACATGAGACTGGCTAAGTGTCAAAACAGAAACATACATGAGTCCTAGCAGGCTGGGGAAGGGTGATATCTCCGAGTCGGACCAGATAAAACCACACTGGCATTCCTGCTTCCACCACACCCGCCTCTGAGACTCACAGAGGATGAAAGCTAAAATAAAACAGACTCAAGGAGTGGTAAGGCCTCAGGTCCTTCTTTTGCAGCACACCAAAACAAAAATGTCAGTAAGGTTTATTGTTTGTGGAGGTACAGAATTCATAAATAGTGACATGGCTCATTGCTTCCGCTACTCAGGATATGACTGCTTTACTAGCACTGTGTTTTTAACTGTTTTGAATATGGATTTTTTTCTTTTTCTTTTTTTTTTAACAGCATCGTGCTGAAGTTTGAATAGCTATGGCTCTGCTTTTTGCTCGGCGTTAAGCAAGGCCCGGTTCCTAATTCTGCCAAATCCCAGCTAAGCGTTAGGCCTCCCCACTGAGTCCCTCAATGCCCACCCAAATTCTTGCCCAGAGCCAACCAACGCACGCACAATCGGACAGACTCCCCAGAACGTTCTTAAAACAAAGGTGGGGCCTCAGGCCTGTATCATCCACTAAGTTCTGAAATCAAAAATCTTTGTTGAAATCACTTTGATATTTATAATGAACTCCAATGCTTGTATACAATTGTGCTAAAATAACAATATACTTGTTAACATAGTTTATTAATCTCATTACATAGAGAGTATTCACCAGTCCCTCACACAACTGGCTTTTAGAGGAAAATAAAAAATGTTAAAGGTCTTTTATGGTTTAGCTGCCTGTCTTCCTAAAATCAATCGTTTTTCCTCATCTCTATCCCCTCAACCCCTGGTGACATTGTTGGCCACTGCGACCACTGCCCGCCGCCCCTTCCACCCGCCTCCCTGGAGCCTCTGCACTCCTGCTCATCACAGCACCTGCCGTTGCCATAGCAGCAGGCCCTTCTCCTCCCCGCCGGACCACAAGCTCCTTGAAGGCAGGAACTGCTCCTGATGGCCGCTGTACCCCTAGAAACTACCTTCGCAGCCGGCACCTAGTAAGCACTCGATCACTGGTTCTTAATGAATGGATGAAATGAAATCCACTTAAGTATACTTGATCAAGGTCAAACCCGTCCCAACACTGTATTTTAGATTCGGCCCCATTTTGAGCTGAACATGGAAACCCTGACGAAGTTTGGATGACGGCACCCACTGGAAACGTCAGGTGCGATCAAGGTCCCGAGACTCATGTAGGGATGAAGGGTTTTGTTCTAGATCAAGGTCAAGGCCTCCTGAGGATGCCTCGTTCCCTGAAATCTCACCCCCACCCCACACTGTACGCACGTGTGCACGTGCATACACACACACACACACTCACACTCACACACACTCACTCTCACACTCTCACACTCTCACACTCACACACTCACACTCACACAGTCACACTCTCACACACACACTCACTCTCACACTCACACGCATTCACACACACACTCTGTCACACATACTCACACTCACACTCACACACACTCACTCTCACACTCACACACTCACTCTCACACTCTCACACTCACACACATTCACACACACACTCTGTCACACATACTCACACACACTCACACACCTTACCGAGCCCTGGGGCAGCTGGCCTGGCTCCAGCACTGAGCACAGGGCAGTGGGGAAACAGGTGAGGTCCAAGGCCCTTTCAGGATGGACATTCTAAGAGACACGCCCTCTCCCGCCTCCAGGAACAGCCGCGTTCCTGCTGCACTTGGAGTGCACTGCAAACCACACTCTCGGAGAGAACTTCACTTAGGAGTCTTTACTCACCATCAGCGGTGTGAAGGAGCTTGTGGCTTTTCAACGTCCCTTTGGATTTGAATTTCTTGCCACACATGTCACATAGGTGCGTTTTCTCAGTGCTGTGACGATTCATGTGGGCCTTGAGGTTACTTTTGCTGCGAGTTGCATACTCACACAAAGAGCATTTGAAGGGTTTCACACCTACCAGAGGAGAGGAAAAAAACATATATATATACACACACACACACACACACTCCACACCCATTGTGAATACAGCAGGGCCCCGGCTTGTCCCTGAGCCCACTGCACCTCCCCACGCCATGCTCTCACCCAGGCTGTTCCTTCCGACCGGGCTGCCCTCACCGCCTGGCTCTGCCAGGGCTTCCACTCTGCCGCCTTCTCCGACTTTCCCAAGCGCAGGTCCTCGCTTCCCTGTCACTGTGCCCAGTCCTGCAAGTCTGCGCTAGCTGGGCTGCTCACAGCACGCCACAGTGAGATGCTCTCACTGCCCTCTCCCCTCGGGCTGGGACCCCTCGAGGGCGCAGGCCCTGAGCAGTTTACTCAGCAGATGTTCATTAAATTCAATTGAACTGAGTTAAACGGAATGAAATTAAAGGAACCAAGGGCCTCTGCAAACATCAATGAGATCAGGCATCCGGGATCAGACGTGAAAGCATATTTTACTTCACAGAGTCAGCAGGACTTTCCAACACTAGTTGTTGTCGGGTAATGACGAGAACTCGGGGGGCACTTGGCATTCAGCCGCCCCTCCTTCACTCAACAAACATGGACTGAGGACCTGCTTCGTAGTAAACGCTGAGGGCTGGCTGTGAGCTGAGCAGCACCGCCTGCACCGTCCAGAGGGAAATGCAGATGACCGCAAAGGCCACTGTGACATCTGCGGGGGAGGGGAGCTGTGCCTGAGCCTGAGCACAGGGGCGTCACAGACAAATCACCCCTTATCTATTGGGTTGTCGGAAAAGTCATGACGTAGTTTTTCTATGTTTTTCATTCCAAAAACGCGTCATGACTTTTCCGACAATCCAATACACTCCCTATGGCTTTGCAGTTGAGGAAGCCAGGCTTGAAAAAGGCTGCTGGGTGAGCCCAGGGGCACAGGCTGGGGCGCCAGCATGTTGGTCCCTGAGAGAGTCTCTCTCAGCCTTGGCTTTGATCTCAGCTGCTTCTGCCTCGTCGGGGCTCCTCCGCCCTCCGTCACTGTCCTCTTTACTGAACTTAGCCCCTCCCTTCCTAATGGTTCCTTCCCTGGGGCCTAAACACAGGTCACTTTTATCCCATTTGTAGGAAAGACTCGGTCCTTCCTCCCGCTCTAGGAGCTGCCATGTTTTCCTGCCCACTGTATTCCAGGTCCCCAACTCCCAGGAAGGGACTGCACAGGTGTCTACAAGGCCCCTCCCTGGCCCCAAGGCTCTGAGCCTCATCCCCAAGATAGCCAAGTCCTTCTGCAGGGCGAGAAAACAAACCTGGCGGCCTGCTGTCTCCAACCGTATCCTGACCTCCAACTTCCCAAAGGCCCAGAGAGTGCTCCCCAACACTTCCCTTCACAGGCAAGCACCCCGAAAGCACAGCCTATGTTCCTCCTTCCGCTACTTCATCTGCACACAGCCCTTCCACCGTCTGAATTCTTCCTCCACAGCATGAATACGGCACTCCACCCCGCCAGCATCAGAGGGCTCTGCGGTCCCCCCTTCTTCCTTCCTTCATAATAGCAACGCCTGCTCAGCACCTACCGTGTGCAGTGCACTATGGCGGGCACCAGTTACTGCCCTGACTGGCGCGGGGCTGATCCTGTTCTCCTGATGCTCGCTTTTTAGCACAGGAGTCACGGTCATTTATTTCGCTCCAGATTCAACAAGAGTGATAAAGAATTGCACACCACTGATCACTGCAATTGCAGCTAAATAAGTAATGATTTAAATCACTGATCATAGCGGGGGTGGGGGGACATAAATTCTCACTGCAGGAGACCGGAAGATACGCTTCCTCCTACTGCACCCCCACAGGAAGCACGCAAGCACAAAGCTCAAAGGGTGCTGCAGTCGGAAAAATGGCGACTCACCTTCATGAGCCCAAATATGACGCTGCAGGTCGGAGCCATTCTTCATGAAATAGAAATCACAATACGGGCACTTCATGGCTCTCTTTCCAATTAGCCCTTTCAGCTGAACCCTCCTCCCAAGCACCTCGGAGATGGTGCTCATGGAGACCTCTAGGAGAAAAGCAGATGATCGTCAGAAGCAGCCAAGGAACCTCGGTTCAAGTTCGATGTCAGTGAACTCAGGACAGCACCTGAACCCACTGGTCAATCCTAGCAGCACAGAGGTGGCCAGTCAAGGACGTGCCTCATGGTGTCACGTGATAGATTTCTGCCTCAAAAGGTAATCTAAGAGTCTCAGATCGAAATATCTGTTTACATAAAACGTGAGGGCTGGAGAAACTGTCTCATGAGACAACAGGCAGACAAATGCAAAATGCAAAGTCATTTATAGGAAAAGCAACCGTTTCTCCAACAAATCGATGTCATGGGGAAAAAAGCAGAGGCGGGATGTCCTGTTCGAATACAAGAAACTTAAGTGCCATAAACGCTAAAAGCAAAATTCTTGGATCTTGATTCAAACAAGCCAACTGTAAAAAAAAAAAAAAAAAAAATCTTGTGTCAATTGGGGAAATCTTTTTTCTTTCTTTTTTTTTTTTTTAGCTGAGCCATCCTGCCACCTGTTGGCAGCTCATGGCAGTTCAGCTCAGGCTGGGAATCGAACCACCGTTGCTTAGAGTTCACACTCTTGAGCGAGCTCTTAATCAGCTGAGCCATTCAGCCAGCCCAATTGGGGAAATATTAAATGGACTAATATTAGATGGTGAAAAGGGACTACTGGGAAGGCTGAATGGCTCAGTTGGTTAAGAGTTGGCTTAAGAGCATGAGCTCTGAGCAACAGGGCCGCAGGTTTGATTTCCACATGGGCCAGAGACGCTGCGCCTGAGCTGAGTTGTCACTGAGCTGCCAACAGGTGGCAGGATGGATTAGCTGGTGTAACAGCAAGACTGTCTGTTTGATGGTGGGCTATGCCCACCTGCAAATAAGACTGAACTTGAGCTGAGCTGCCACCCGGATGGCTCAGTGGATAGAGCGTGCACTCTTAACAACAAGGCTGCTGGTTCGACTCCCGCATGGGATGGTGGCTACGCCCACCCGCAACTAAGACTGAACACAGCACCTTGAGCTTACGGGCCACAAGCTGCCAATGGGCAGCCAGATGGCGACTGGCACCCTCCACAACGAAGACTGAAGAACAACTTGGCTGGTCCCCTCCCCCAATCCCCCAACACTGTTCCCCTACCCCAATTCCCTAGGAAAATCTTAAAAAAAAAAAAAAAAAAAGGAGTGGTTACTGTGAATTCTGTTGGTTTTAATGGTAACATGGTGGTTATGGTGACAAAAATCCTTATTAGAGATGCATTTTGAAGGTTTTGTGTGTTTTTTTAAATTTTTTTAAATGGGGAAATAACATGATGTCTGGGAAAAAGTATTCTAGAAAACAAAGTTTAGGGGGGCTGAAACAGGAAACAATTTTGGTAAAATGTAGACAACTGAGGAAGCTGCGTTGTGGATTCTCCGGAGTCCCACCCCAAGGATGTCACGGGGCAGCGGGGAGAGTGCCCATCACTAGGCTACAGGTGGTGTGTGCGCCATGATGGGGGCACAGGGGGGCCTCCCCCAGGCTGGGGCAACCAAAGCCTCCCCAGGGCGGGGCTGAGAGAATGTAAAAAATAAACAGGAATTCATGGGCAGAGTGGAGATGTGTCCCCGGCAGTGAGAACTGAATGCCTACGAAGCTCAAGTCTCACACAGGCGAGTGGCGTGGGGTTGATAAGACCTAAGGTGACAGTCATTCTAACTCAGTGAGGCTCCTGAGCCTGGGAGTGGGCCCACAGCCCTCATAACCCACCACGCTGGGCAACACAAACTTGGGGGGTGGGGGGCCAGCATGGACACCTGGGGGATGGGATCGCTGCCAGATCAGCCCTGGAAGTGGCCCATGAGAAGGCGTTTGAAGTTCATATTAAAAAGGGGAGGGGACTCATGAGGCTGCGGGAAGATGTATCTGAAGACCAGATAAAGGATAAAACGAAGTAAATAACTAAGCGCCCAACTCTAAATACCGATGATTGCTTCCCTTGAATTGACTCATATCTCCAGCTGTCGTTATTTCCATCAGAGCAGGTGATAATGTGACTCTATATTTTAAAATAAACGTAAGGATTTTAACATTAATACCCCACTCTAAACTGCATAACCTTACCGGGATGGTTCGTCTTGATATGTGACTTTATCAACCGATCTTCTGAAAAAGACTTTTCACACACAGGACAAGAGTAACTCCTTTTGTCCTTAATAGAAAGAGAGCATCATCAGTTGACCGCTTTGCTTGAACCCGGGCTCTGTGGAAACACCGCCACCACCGCCATCACCGTCTCCACCACCACCGCCATCACCACCATCAAAGCGGGACGCACGGTGCACCTTTCCAAGAATGTGACATGCAGCCTGCACCTGGCCCCACACAGCCCGCTGAGCTCAACAGTGGCAGGGGAATCCCAGCACTGACATTTCAGAGGGAGGGGTGGGCTTCGAGATGCTGGTCCTGAGGAGGTGGCCGAGCCTCTCCAGGGCAGGGCTTGGCCTCGAGTTCACTGTGCAGACCAGCACTGCTCCGTGACCCAGCACACTGCATGTCCTGCAGCACTTAGTGCTCGGCGTGCATGGAGTTGACAGAAGATATTTTATTGAGACGCATGAACACTCTCGAAGGGTAGCCATTATTATGCTGACGTTACAGATGAAGAAACTGAGGCTACGAGCCCCAGGTTTGAGAGGAAGAACCAGGGTTGGAGCCAGCGTATGGATGTTCACCTGGGCTCCTTGGACCACCCCAGGCCGTGTCCCTCCGTGCTCATGCTGCACAGCCACTAGCCTCACCAAGCCGGCTAACTAAGGTACAACATTCTTGGTTTATGCTTCTAGGGACATGCTTCCGGGAATGGTCAACGGCCTTTGCTCATCTGCCTTTTCTCAGAGCTCACGTTAGAGCTGTTTCACATGACAATTTTCCCAGAGGGTGGGTTAAACTGTGTTCCCCCAAAACTCATGGGTGGCAGTCCTAACCTCGAATGCCTCAGGCCTTATTTGGCAATGGGGTCACTGTAAGGTGTAATTACTTAAAACGAGGTCATCAGGGCAGGCTCTAATCCAATATGACTGGTGTCCTTAAAAAAGGGAAATTTGGACACAGGCATCCACCCAGGGAGAACGCCACGTGAAGATGAAGGCAGAGGGACGGGTGACGAGTCTACAAGCCAAGGGACACCAAAGCCTGCCAGCAAAGAGAGAGTCCTGGACACATGCTCGCTCACGGCCCTCAGAAGGCGCGGCACCGCCGACACCTTGAACTCAAACTCCTCGACTCCGGATCTGGGAGGCGGTAAATAACTGCTGTGCAAGCCACTCGGCGTGTGGAGCTCAGTTATGGCAGCCTGAGAAGCTAACACTGCGCTTGAGCTGCAGAAGGAAAAGAGCAGCGGCCGGTCGCCACCTGGTCCTTCGGCAGGCGGAGGGAGAGGCGGTTAGGCCCCAGGCAACGGAGGGCTGAGCAAATGGGTTTCCTTCTTGCTCTCAACCTCGGCGTCCCCATCAGGGAAGACAACCAAGCGAGGCGGCATCAGTGCACGAAACGCCGGCACACTCACAACAAGCCTCGAAAGTGTGGCCGGTGTTAACGAGCCCACACACCCACATCTCACAGAGCGCCAGAACCCGCTGGTGAGGACGCTGCACGTCCAGATGGACCGCAAACAAAAGCAGGACGTGCAGGAGCATGGCTGCCAGGAAATGTGTCGGGCCGTGTGTGCTCTGGAGGCTGTAAACACAGTCTATCTCACTTGGGTTTCCAGAAGGACCCATTCCGCCATTTAAGCCATTTACTGAGCATCGGCTGTGAGCTCTGCCTTGCACAAGTGTATTCTGTGTGCTGGTAAATGGATACAATCTTCACAGCCACCCCAAAATGCAGCCTGTTCATGCCACCAATAACAATAACAATAGCCACCATATCTTAAGAACTTACTGCAAGCACAGCAGTGTGAAAAGTGCTTTACATAGCCCAACATACGAGGCGTTTAAGAGCTTGCCCAAGGTCACAGCAGCACAGAGAGCAGAGTGGGACTCCCACACCAGACCTCTGGGCTCCAGAGCGCCTGCTCCTGTGAGACAGTGACTAGGAGTACAGACTGTGGGCTCAGGTTCCCTACGTTCAAATCCTGCTTTCGCCACTTACAGCTGGGGCAACATGGGGCAAGTGACTGAACATCTTAGTGTCTTAGTTTCTTCAAAATGGCAATAAAAACTGCCTCCTTGATAGGATTGCTAGGAGGACAAAGGAGACTAAACACTCATAAACTGGACTTCCAGCTTCCAGTGCAGCATGTAAGAAGTTTGGAAGTCCTCACTCCATCCTAACCACAATGAAAATTTGAACAAACTAAATACGCAACAACTCTTCTTGGATCCAAAAAGACACGCGGTCATAGGGCAAACCACTGCCCCCCAAATTGGACAATACACACGTAAAACCAGAGAACTACAACTTACTGCTGCAAAAATCCACAAGCAGAAACCTCCCAGAGAACAAGTACAACTGTGGAAGACAAAAATTCCAAGGGACCCAGTCATATGAGGACCCCCAAACTTTTGTGAGTTTTACCTTCAGGAGCTCAACCCTGCTCTCACAGTGAGTATCAGAGAAAAGCTGTCATGTTTCTAGCAGGCAGAGGGGAGTAGGACCATTTTGAAATACACCGGAACATTCTGATCTTCTTAGCAAAGCCTGGACTCAGGGGAGACAGGAAAACTAGCAAATTGGAATGGACAGAAATCACACGATGCCTGCTGGCAGACCACAATGGATTCAACTAGAAATCAAAAACAGAAAGCTAGCTGGAATATCCCAAAACATATATAGATTAAACATCACATATTCAAATAACACGTGAGTCAAAGAAAAAAAAATCTCAAGAAAATCTTTTTTAAAATTTTGAACTAAATAAAAATGAAAACAAGTTATCAAAATCTGTAGAAGGCAGTGAAAGCTGTGCTTAGAGGAAATTTATAGCATTGGAGGTATACATTAGAGAAGAAGAAAAATCTAAAATCAGTCATCTAAGCTTCCACCTTAGGAAAATAGAAAAAGAAGAGTAAATTATATCAAAACTAAATAGAAGAAAATAAAATCAATGAAATTGAAAATAGAAAATCAACAGAACCAAAAGCTGGTTCTTTGAAAAGACTGATAAAATCATTAAGACTCTAGCCAGGCTAACTAATTAAAAAAAAAGGACACAAATTAGTAATACCAAAAATGAAAGGAGACATACTACAAATACCATGGACATTGTAAGGATAGTAAAAGAAAACTATGAACAACTCTTTGTCCACAAATTTGACAACTTAGATTAAACAGACCAATTACTTAATAGACACAGTCTGCCAAAACTCATACAAAAAGAAATAGACAATATGAATAGGCCTGTATCTACTACAAAAATTGAAGCAATAATTAATAACTTTCCAAAACAAAAAGCACAAGACCCAGATGGGTTCACCAGTGAATTCTACCCAACAATTAAGGAAGAAATTATACTAATTCCCTATAATTTCTTATAGACAATAGAAACAGAGGGAATACTTCCTAACTCATTCTATGAGGCCGGCATTACCTAATACCAAAAACAGAGAAAGACATTACAAGAAAGAGAATTACAGGCCAATATTTCTAACGAAAAAGGTGCAAAACTCCTCAACAAAATATTAGCACACTAAGTCCAACAATGTATAAAAAAAAACTATACACCATGACCAAGTGGGACTTATCCCAGGTATGCAAGGCTGATTGAGCATTCTAAAATCAATTAATGTAACCCATCACATCAACAAGCTAAAATAATTTTAAAAATAAAAAAAATCACATGATCATATCAATAGAGGCAAAAAAAGAATTTGACAAAAACCCAACACTAATTCATGATAAACAATCTCAGTAAAGTAGGAACAAAGGGGAACTTTCTCAAGTTGATAAAGAATATCTACAAAATGAACTACAAATAACATCATACCTAATGGTGAGAAACTGGAAGCCTCCCCACTAAGATTAGAAACAAAGCAAAGTGTCCCCTCCCAGGACTCATTTTCAATACCACAGTGGGACTCCTATGTAATAAGTCCGTATGTAATAAGACAAGAAAATAAAATAAAAGATATACTGATTGGGAGAGATATAACTATCTTTGTTTGCAGATGACACGATTATCCATGGAGAAATTCTGAGAGAATTAACCACAAAACTCCTGGAACTAATAAGCAATTACAGCAAGGTTACAGGAAACAAGAGTAATATACAAAAGTCAACTGCTGCCTACATACCAGCAATGAATATGTGGAATCTAAAATCAAAAACACAATACAATTTACATTAGCACGCCACAAAATAAAATGCTTAGGTATAACTCTAATAAAATATGTATAAGCTCTATATGAGAAAAACTATAGAACTCTGATGAAAGAAATCAAAGAAGAGCTAAATAAGTGGATAACTATTTCATGCTCATAGACAGAAAGACTCAATATTGTCAAGATGTCAGTTCTTCCCAACTTTATCTATAGATTCAAGCAATCCCATCCAAAATCCCAGCAAGTTATTTCGTGGGTTTTGATTATAAAGTTTATATAGAGAGGCAAAAGACCCAGAATAACCAGCACAGTATTAGAGAACAGTCAGAGGACTGATACTACTGAACTTTAAGATTTACTGTAAAGCTGTAGTGAAGACAGTGTGGTATTGGTGAAAGAACAGACAGAGAGATCAATGGAACAGAAACAGAGTCCAGAAATAGACCTGCTTAAATACAGTCAAGTGACCTTTGACACAGGAGCAAACACTCTACAATGGAACAAAAATGGTGCCGGATCCACTGGACAGCCACATGCAGGAAATGAATCTAGACACAGACCTTACACCCTTCACAAATATGAACTCATAATGGATCATACACCTAAATGTAAAATGCAGAATTATAAAACTCCTAGAACACGTAGGAGAAAATCTAGCTGACCTGGAGTATGGTGATGACTTTTTAGATATAACACTGAAGGCATTATCCACAAAAGGGAATATTGATAAGCAGGACTGCACTAAAATTAAAAAGTTATGCTCTGCAAAAGAGAATGAAAAAAACTGTTAAGAGAATGAAAAAAAACAAGGCACAGACAGAGAGAAAATATTTGCAAAAGATATATCTGATAAAGGACTGTTATCCAAAATATACAAATAACTCTTAAA